GCACATACACTCATGTATATAAACCGTCCAATTTTCCCTGGCGTAGCACTGCCATAATCACAGGTTAGCTTGAGGCCGCGAGCGCCATTGCGTGGCTAGGCAAGATGGCCGACGAGCTGCGAACCCCAACCTCAAACGTGGCGCTACAACTATTTCAAATTCACCACAAAAAGTGTTTTATAATTTATCTCATTCGTGTTATTACCGAGAAAAAAAAAATGCTATGCATGCGTGAAAAACCAACTAACCGTGCACGTTGAGTCTCGATCCCGTCGTCTATTTCTCACGACATTCTTCGATGCCGGGTACTATTATTATCAACAATACACGGACGGGCCATTAGTCAAGAGAACGTCATGAGCCGTGTACTTTAACACTTTCCAATCTATAATTATACGAGTTGTGCTGGGACATTGCGAAATTATCTACAATCAGCGGTGGATCAGCGCAGCATGAGACACCTACGTTACAATGTCTCTTAAATAGTAATAACGGTGATGGTAAAGTGTCAAGATGTTTAAATAATTTTCACCTCGCGTGTTGCTGGATGGATAGGAAATATGGAGGGGGCAGTCATGCATACTTGAACGGAAAATTGGTACATTGAATAATTTGAGTTGAATCAAGTGAAAAATTTGACTTGAACCAAGTTCAAAATTTGACTTGAGTCAAGTTAAAAATTTAACTTGAATCAAGTTGAAAATGTGACGTGAATCAAGTTGAAAATTTGACTTAAATCAAGTTAAAAATTTGACTTGAATCAAGTTGAAAATTCGATTTGAATCAAGTTAAAAATTTGGTTTAAATCAAGTTGAAAACTCGATTAAGATCAAGTTGCAAACTTGATTGAAATCAAGTCGAAAACTTGACTTGAATCAAGTCGACGATTTTCCTTGAATCAAGTTAAAGACTTGATCCAAATCAAATAAAAAAATTGCGTTGAAATTCGAAAAATAGACTTGGTTTTTTAAATCGATTCAGGTTGATTTTTTTTTTTTCAGTGTAATAATGTATCGGCCCATCCCCTCGCGAATTTAGCATAATACCAACGCGGGATTATCGTATACCCCGAAGACACAGCTTGAGGCCTCGAAGGATCTCCAGTCTGAAGTAATGACCGTCTATATCCTCACCCCTCATGGACCCGAGATCCCTGCCCGAAAGGGACGAAAGAGAATCTCTGGATTTTCATTTTCAAACACGGGATTTATTGTTAAATTGGAGCTTTATTCAGTAACCTCTCGATCCACCTTAATCCCAAAGTATTTTTTATAAATCAAATTAGGATGTATCCGCAAATTTTTTCTCGCCAAAAAAATTCTACGGAACGCCAACTCTATTTTACTCGGCTATCGCGCCATTTTATAGCGATAAATAGATATAATTCAATGTAATGGTGGGTTTAAGCTGTCCTATTTACCCTATTCTCAACCGCTTTCATGTCCCATTCCCCAGAAATTGATTACAGATCGCAGCCCAGAGCAAACTGGAAGTCCTTTTCGTGCCGGGTTCTATTTGCTTCCCTTCTACTACCCCTCTCGAGGTACATAAATCCATAATAACTATTTGCATTTCTATTTCACTATGTCTCCACTTGACCTCACAATCCGCCGACAATTTCAATCTATTTTCCACCGACTTCATCCACCTCCTTCATTTTCACGTCACGGTTTGATAATCGCGGAGGAAATTCATGACATCAAATGTCAACCGAAGGGAAATCATTTCAACATGAACTAGAGTAATTGCGGGTTTATGCAATCGCGCAAGAAGTGCAATTTAATAGGTCAACATCATTTAAGAATCATTTTTCCTTCGCTAATGACTCAGCAGTCCGTTATGAATTCTAATGCCAGAACTTTTATCTCAAACCTAACCTGTTCCATTTTCTCAATTATAAAATCAAAGCAAAATGGACCGACACATGAAATCCATATTTTCATATAAACGCCTGCCCAAAAATTCCAAAATATGTGGCATTGGTCAAAATGGTCGCCATATGTTCATGATCAGGCGGGAAATTCGAATTGGCGGACTCAGGGCTCGCGCATCAGTCATATTTTTAATTATTCCAAGACCCTGGAATGCCGCAGCCCTATAATTTCACCGTGAACTTTACCTATTATTATTATCCTTAATGACCTCAATGGGACAAATTTGCCCTGAAATTTTTTTGACCCCAAATACCTACAATGTATATACCATGTTTTACGGTGGGGGAAGAGGGGGGCAGGAGGGAGGGTAACCGGCTGTTCCGTCATTTGTTTCGAACTCTTCTCACTCATTTTTCATACGTTTACCTCGGTTGTTCCTCCGTCTCCCTTCCACCACACCCCGAGTGGCCTTGAGGCGCCCCAAGTGCCGAACGCAACCCGAAGTAAAACCCGGGCCTCCACTTTCCGTCCTTTGTTCCATCGTAAGTTTTCTCTTGTATACAACCCAAGAGCCGAGGCAAAAGCGCGCACGAGAGAGAAAACAAAAGACAAATTACAGAGACGGCCATCATGTGACCCTTACCACCTGTCTATATTCTTCGAGACGAGAAGAACCGACTAAATATCGTGGCATGGAGAGGAAAAAATTGTGGAGAGAAAGATATACCTTCGGTCGCGTGTGGAATTATCAGGATTGTTCGTCTCCGTTCTGTAATCTTCATTTCTCTTCGAATTTTTTTTATTAAAAAAAAAATCTGACCAGCCTCCTTTCTCTGGCATCCTGCTTTCAATGGAGAAAATATATGAGAAGGTATTACTCGGTGGCTACATCAAGTGTCGAAAATTTTTGGAATTCATTTGTTTTTACATGGAGATTCTAAATTCATATTTTGAAGTTCAATCGAGTGAAGGTCAAATAGAAACTAATACTGGAGGAATAAAAAATTCTGCTCTTGTTTTTTTACAACACTTACACGTATGAAATTCAGGACCTGTTATATCGGAATTTGTGGATTGCGATTGGTTATGGGAAACAATCCCTCACGAGTTGGGATTTTAGCCAGTGATCTTCCGAAGTTCGAGCATTGACATCGGTATCGGCATCGGCTTTATACCGATCAGCCACTCCATCGGCCTGAAAATGTACTGAATCCATTCGTATAAATATTGCCCAATGGCGCCAAGAGAATATTTATGTCGATATATCTGAAGCTGGGAATGCAATGGCCACCTATCTCCATCAGAAACACAGAAGCCGACGGCCGTCGCTCTTCCGCCGTCAACTTGCCAGTGCTCCTTGATGACTGACAACCTGTCCCGAAATAATATCCACCCGTCTGTCACCCTCACACTCATCTCTCCTTCCCTCTCATTCTCCCATCCTCACTCCCGTCAATTGTTATTTCCGCACTTTTTTGTCGCCGACGGTCAGTTTTATTTCTGTTACAGTTATTTTTGATGTTTTGCGGGTGAAACAGTAGAAGTTCCAACGGAAACCCGTAAATTTCGAAATTCGGAATTGATGTCGTGTCGCGGAGATACCGAGATATTCCATAAAGTCAAAAAATGTGTACACAAGAAAAGGCAGAGGTTAAGAACACTTTGGCTATTTCCATGCTCGTTATCTATCTCACGCTGCACGCGATCCCGTCTGTCTCCCGTGTGACGAGTCTTGACAGTCTGTCATCTCCATGACAGCAATGTTGTCCGAAATACAGGGGACAATGGCTCCAATAAAATTCAAGCCTAAATTGAAATTAGAAAAAAAAAAAACCTGGTCCGAGTTAATTTTCCCTCAATTACGGGCCGCAAGTGCCTGGAATATCGGAAATACCGCAGCGAAGTGGTGAACCCATAGGCGTGGATTCTCTTTGATTGACAAGTTTGGCCAGCCAATGGCAACCCCTGAAATGCTGATGAGGCTCACGTCAATCACGCGAACATTTTCTCTACCTCGTACCACCGATTCCACCCTCCGGCAGTTCGATTCGTCCGCTCAGATGCCCCCGTCTCTTTTTATCTCTCTCCACTTTTCCGCTTCTTTTTTTTTCCAACGCATCTCCAGGATCCCTCTCCCACCCTCAGTTTCCCGTTTATGTATGTACGCGTTTTCAGACCACCCTTACATCCGCTCGCACGCCATGGGGTAGTTTAGCATCTCCGCTTCGCTACCCTCAAGTCGCCGAGCGCAACAAACCGAAATGCATGAAAAAATTATTCGTTGTGCACAGACAAACCAGCTTGATTGGTGATTAAGACTACGCCATGACATCAACAGCATGAATCATGGAGTTCTTCAAGGTTTTAGATAAGCATTTTTACGATTTTTGTATGCATGAAATATTCGTCCTCCAATTATGTGTGATTTCCGAACATGTTAAATGCCCGGTGGCCTGGCGTAGTGGTTAAGGTCGTTGCCTCACAACGGATAGGTTCCAGGTTCGATTCCTGGCCGGATAGAATGGTGAGATCTAACCAGCTTTAAAAAGTCCTGATCAATCGCCAAATAGTCTCATCCGACTCGAAGCAATGTAAAATAAGCATGAAGAAAAAAAAAAGAACACCTAATAGAATAAGATAATAATACTGAAAACAAAATTCGACCACTGAAGGTTCTCAATAAACATGATTAATTATGATTCCACAAAGCTATCGCTTCGAAAATTAATATCCCCACGTGAAGCGAGTCAAAACCTTGTTTACACCAGCGCTTACTCCAGAGTTTCAATATTACCGCAAACTCATCTTAAGCCCCTGAGATAATTCTCGTATCTTCAATACCCCCTCGTTATCACGAGACAAGTTTCTTACTGGGTAACAATTAGCCGATGCTAATCACGAGATGCCACCGTGGATTCTCCTCACCCACGGTGAATCCAACGGTTCTTGTCCTCGAGATTCTGATGCTCCTGGTTCGGTATATCCCCATGTCCTCGCGTTAATTAAACCACTATCCACCCAACAGCCTCAACATAATCGACTAGAATCATTGTTTTGTGATCAATACGGGAGTAAAAACTTGACTTGCGAATTGTCTCACGGTTGCCTCTATATATTCTGTTGTAGAAAATGGTCTTCCCAGGAGATTACGTACTGCCTACACAAATACTCAGTTGCTGGAGTTAGAAAAGGAGTTCCACTTCAACAAGTATCTATGTCGACCGAGAAGAATCGAAATAGCGGCTTCCCTGGATCTCACGGAAAGGCAGGTGAGGGTTGAACAAATCTGATAATTTTTATCACGTGTATCTATTTTTGTTCTAATTCGGTATTTGGTAATGGTAGGTGAAGGTATGGTTTCAAAATCGTCGGATGAAGCACAAAAGACAAACACTGAGTAAAGAGGATGGTGATGATAAAGACGGTGGATCGTCGGACGGTGTGGAGAAGCCCAAAGGAGAGAACATGCTGATTGACGAGGATGAGAAGAAGAGTTGCCACAACTGTGATATTTCCGGAGTTACCGATGTGGGTAGCACACTCAGCGAGGTGACAGACCTCGGTGCTTCGCGGCTTGGTAACAATAATAATACACCAAGTGCAACGAATAACAATAACAATGGATCAAATGTAGGATTTAGTACGAATAGTAATGGTGCTAGTAGTGTTGGGAGTACGAACAGTGTATCGAGCTCCTTCGAGAAGATAATGGCTGATGAGGACTCGAGATCGAATGACGGTAGTGACGTGACATCGCCAAGCATACCAACGAAAAAGATGAGTGAGGTGAGGATCAAAGTGGAGGGTGGACACAAGAGTCCAAATCCTACGAAACATCCGATAAATGTCTGCAAGAAGTCACCGTCCTCCAGCAATAAAGAAATATGTACAATGACCAGCAACGGTGTCCTCTTGGCCATGCCGGATTCGACTGTCAGCACACCAGCTCTACCAAGTCAAGGATCTACGAGGAGTCTAACACCCTCGTCAACACCCGGAACACCTGTATCCGTTCAACTTCAACAGGGCAGCCCACTGAATGTACAAAGCACCCACGGCTACATGCAGCGGCCCAGAAGCTCTCCATCGTCCACCAGTTCCGGGACTATCCTTCATGGCACCTCGAATTCAACGAGTATTCCACCTCACGTAGCCCGAAGTATCCCATCAAATTCCCAAGGGCATTTTCCACCTCAGCAGAATATATATCAACCACCTGCTGGTGATTACAGAAATGGAATGCCCATGAGCAGACAAAACGTTCCACCAGCCAATCCTCAGAGCACTTACTGCAACCGAGATACGTATCAACAACGCGTGACGTATCCACCTGAAATGCACTCAATGTATAGACAGAATCCAGCGATAACCACGCGAGTTGGTCATCACGGAAGAACGGGATCAACGACCCGCCCGGTGTACAATCCGTCGTTGCAATTTCATCAGCAACAGCAGCAGTATCCAACTGCAGGAGAGTACAACGGCTATCCACAAGGTGGTGCATACCATGCCAGCTATCAGCGAGGTATGCATCCAGGTGGAACAGCTTATCCAAACCAAGCCTATCCGAATTCCCAGACTGAGGCATCGACGGAGTACATGACCGGAAGCTATGGATATCCAACAGGACCATATCATGGAGACAATCTGGCTTCTCACTCCCACACAGCTGTTCCCGTTCAACCTAGCCAGCATTATTATCCCGAGATGCAGCATCAGGCTCAACAGCAACATGCAGCTGAGGGTTACGGCTCCATTCATCCCAGCCAGAATGACTACCGGGGAAGCAAGTGTCATCCAAACACCTACTACGAGCAGTCACAGCTGCACGTTCACCAGGGAGGCGAGGCATCCAGCATTCCCAACAGCTACGTCTCATCACCTGATCCTTTCCCAGCCCCTGGCATGACCACAACTGCAACAGCTATCGCCGCGGCAACAGCAGCTGTTATCACTCCACCAGATAGCACCGGACAAGCTGAAACAAACAATGAACCGTACAGCAACTTTGGAAATTTCTACGGGGAATCGGTTCACGCCACTGCACCGACACCCTCTGCCGATAACAGCAACAGTTCATCGGACTTTAATTTCCTAAGTAATCTCGCCAATGATTTTGCACCCGAGTACTATCAGCTCAGTTGAGTCCACGAAGCCGAGAATCCGGGACAGGT